AAAAAGTTGAAATCTAAATATTGTTTGTTCAATTTTTTTTTTTGGGGGGGGGGAGTCTTCCGTAGGGGGGTCCGTAGGGGGAGTTCGTGGACCGGTCCATAGGTAGTCCGCGGACCCGGTCCGTAGTGGGGGTCCGCGGACCGGGGGTCAGTGTTTTCGGGTTACCCTTTGCTCGCAGAAAAAAGAAAAAACGAAAGCCAATGTACTTCTCGCTGTGACCTTTCTACAAAGATCTACAAACGGTTTATTGATGTTCAAGTGTTGCATTGTATACGTGCATGTTGTATGATTACAAGAAGTACCTACTTAGACTTCAGTAATTTCTTTTATACTATTATTATCACAGTAGTGGTAACCTTTATATTTTGGTGGCGAACAAGACTTTCAATAAGTTTCCAAAATGCCTTTTAGGAAACTTTGAACAACTTATATTTAATTTCTAGCCTATGGAAAACTGCATTCGGCTCTAACTTCTTACTACATAGTGGAACTGATAGTGTCCTCAAAAACTGAATAGGATATACTTGTTTGCACATCAAAGCCGGATTCCCTTAGCGGAATCAACCATTGACCAAGTTCTTTTTTGGGTCCAGCTGAGCAACATAAGTTACTCACAGTGAGATAACTATTGATTTCAAGGGAGGCGAATTTTTCCTCAAAATCCAGTTAGATTTTGTTTTTTCGAGGCAGGGTATATTACTTTTAAAATCACTGTGGGAGCGAACAATGGAAAAAATCGTAAACGAGCCGCGAAAATGGCGCAGGCTGAGTCTATAAGTGGAATAAACAAACAAAAGTAGAAGTGGTTTCACACAATCGTGGGAGTCTACAAATACGCGATTTTGCAGTTGTGGCTTCGTTTAGTATTGCTAAATCTGAGCACAACACCTTTTTAAGATGTGAACAAAAATTTCCCCTGCTTGTTTTGAATTTTCTTTTGAATGTATTCTGAGGAATCAACTTCTAAAGCAAAAATCTCAAATCAACCAGAAATCGCACGAAAGAGGTAACTTTGTATTTTCATATACTGTAGGGGAACTTTAGGGTGTTGAAAAATGTATTCTTATTGAATTTTATCCCTCTTTCTCTAAATACGTGTATTGAAGCAACTTATCTTTTGTTAGTGCGGTACTTTCTTTGCATCACAAAACATATAAATATCGATAAATACACGCAAGTAAAGGAACGTTTACAGTGCAGTGAAGATACCTACAGCCCTTCGCTTTGTCTTGAATTTGACCTCAATGAAGGTAGCCTTCAGTTTTCAAAGTCCTAGCTGCAAGCTGTTTATGATTCGATCTAAGTTTTAAGGGTCTGTCATGTTTAGCTACAACTTATAACTGACTTAGCCATCTGGTGAAATTATTTGCGCTAATGAGTAGAGTTGTTTGGCCTCTTAAAATAGCGATTAAAAGACGGGTCTTAATGCTTCAGAACTTATGATTATCAATTTTCTTCGAAATTGATTTTGTTGTAATAATACCGGATGTGGTCTATAGCTCAGTGTTCTTGCAAACACCTATTAGTGTAAAACTATTAGCGTTCTATCACGAATGCTGCTCACTGATTGGCTACGCTACTCACTATCTATTCTGTTGTAGATAGTGGGTAGCCTAGTAGTGTGCTCTTATTAACGAAATGGCGGCCTCTTCTTTGCGTTTTCGAAGTGTCTGTGAAGAGGATTTAGATAACATTTCGCTCTCGATTTCTATCCGTGATAAAAAAATTCGAACTCATAATCTAACTGTTAAGTACCACATGTTGTAGACCACAAGATAGTAGGGTCTTACCGTTGATCAGCACAAAACATTCAAATCTCGGCATGATTTCAGTTGTTCTAAAAAGGCACTTATTTCAAGTTAATGATTAAATAACTGGAAAACGTGGATTGTCGAGAATCCTGCAGAGATTTCATCGTTTTGAGTTTTCAGCCGTGTACCCTATTTTATCTCTCGCAGTGTGCTCAAATAAACAAGCATTTGCGACAGATTTATAGCTTACGAGTCCACTTCACAATAAGGTTTTTTTCAAAGTTTTGAAAAGACGATTTACCCTAAGGCGCTGAAACTTTCAATAGCAGTTCCTTCATTCTCTGCAGAAATTTTGATATGTCAATTGTGCGTCCATCATTTTTGACGTTGCCATGGCAACCATCAAATTTCATTTAGTTCTGGCCAAAAAACAACCTTTTTAAGATAATCTTTTTCTTCATCAAATTGCAGAAATTCATGAATTTCTACATTTCATAAGCATCGCGGCTTGATTTTGTATTAATTTCCGTTATTTCTTGAGTTTTTGAGAAATTAGTAAAATCCAAGATGGCGGATCCAAATGACATCATTTGACATTCAATGACGTCATAACTAATTAAATGGTACCATCTTGTTGAGCAAGCTCAGGGCTATCTAATAGCTGCTAATCAACGTAAATTTATTTCGCCCTGCCGTAACAGAACGAAAAACCGGAGGGGAGTTCCATCCACCCCTCCCCACCCTGCCTTGTACCACTATGGGGGTATGAGTTAGCTTGTACGTCCGAGGGTTAAAGCTTTTTTCCGCTCTTCGACTTGAGCACGTGGTGAAGTGAAATCTATTTACCAACGATAATATTCATTTTATTTGCTGAGGATCTCTTTTCCGTCCATTGAATTGTTTAGTCTTTTTGTCTTCTGATTTATGTGTCATGTTGACGTTTTTGAGGTGAGCCTTGTCTGCTTTCAACAACGACAGAGTTCTCAGCTGTCTACCATATGGTCGTAGCCAGCAAAAAATAAATAAATATATATATATCACTGAGTCATAAAAAAAATTATGACAGTTGCAACGCCCGTGGTTAATTTTTTGTTCCTAAGTATTTGGGGTGTTTATGATGACTATAAACAACAAAAACGACAGAAAATATGACTGAGGCAAGTGTTCCTAGGTCTTTCTAGCTACCGCCCTACACATAAGGTGACAGTTTTTACACAATTTCATTTCTCTCCTCCGCAAAGGTTCCGCAATTTCATTAAAATCGCTGTTTGCACTTGAAAGGAGTAGTGGAACCTCGTTTCAACTTGTTCTTTTTGAAATACAATTCTCTCGGTTTAGCTTCATTCATTCGTCTTCTATAAGACATAGATCGACCACTCAAATGCGTTAAATTGAACCAACTCTGATGGAAGTTGTTGACACAAGGTGTTTATTTCATTTTATTTTTAAAATACTTCAGGGAAAATGTCAGTATTGGCTGGTCTCTGGGTGCTTTGAGGGTTTTAAATTAATGCAAATGTCAGTCAATCTCCATGTTTCCCGTAAGCAAATAAAACTTTTTATTTGCATAGTTTTAATTTCAAGTCGACTTAAAAGTCCAATACAAAATATGTTTCGTGCAATATAATTCATACAGCATAGGTAATATTACTGAACATAAATTCATGTCTAATCGCAATATCGAAATAGAGTTATATATCTCGTTTAAACAAACCACAAAAGAGTAAAAGATTTAATTTTATAGGAAGCTCTCTGCCATTGAAACGAGTTATTATCCTTTCAACCGCCGTTTTTTTTTTCACATATGTTTGCGCTCAATGGAGATAGATTATAGGCGGAGAAGTCAAAACCTATTAAATGTAGGGAAACGAAAAACGAAATGTTTTCCTCCGACCAGAGAGATTCAAAATAAAAATAAAAAAAAAGAGTGACGAAATTAAGTAAAAATCGAAATCCTTCCTTCCTCCAAATGGCAACACATTGCCGCTGGCAACTTATTTTCGTTTCATGCATGCAAAGGCCAAACTAAGTATTAAAACGCGTGCTGTCATTTCCTTCCTTCGTGTGACAAAAATCTTCTATTATTGCTTCGCCCTTTGTTCTCACGAATTTAATTTAACCAACAATCTGTTTTCAGGTTTGCCCTGAGCTACCGTCCTGTCAGCTTGAGCTGCTTTTGAAAAAAAAAATGACATAAATTACCTAGCTCTAATTTGAGCCGTAAAAAGTGTTTTTTCCAATGGGCTTTTTTTATTGATCACTAAACTGAAATAGCTTTCGGCTACGATTGGAAACGACAGTATTTTAGGCAGTATTTTATTGGTTAAGTCCACTTTTTCGCTAAGGATTTTAATTTTGCTGTCCTAATGGTCTTGGAAATAAACTTTCAGTTTAATAATAAATGTTAGTTGACCGTCTTATATCTTCCTGGTCTCTTCAAATTCGCTCGATTCCTGCTTGAGGCTAAACTGGTCGCATCGCCCGTTACGGCTATACAACTGATTTCTTTCTGCCCTAGTGACCTTAACTGAGGTGTGGCCAACACGATTTCTCCGCCTCCTCTTGTGGAGGCCGGGGAGAAGTTTGCTCAGCACAACAAGAAAACCCGCGCGAAATTGCTTCTTCATGCAGAAATAGATAACAGGTTTTAGCGCACAGGTCAAAAATACTGCATAGGTGGCCATTAAGGAAGCCTGTCTGGGCATCTCTACCCCTCCAGCTGCGAGCAGAAAGAACAACAGCATCGGAAACCAGCATAGCAGTACCATAACAACCACAGAAAACAGTGTCTTCGCTGAGTCGATTTCTTCCGACGCGATGGAAGTTACGGACGGCAACGATCTCATACGTTTGTTTACTTTGATCAGGTCCCTCACTTTCACAAAGCAAGCAATGATAACCACAACAGGCAATCCGATCACTAAAAGGGTGAAAACTGCAGCGTAGGGCAAACTTGAACCAAAATACACAAAACACATTGCGTTTCCGGGCAGGAAGATAAAATCGCCGCCTCCGACCAAAGGCGGAAAAGCGGAAAACAAGGCCAAGGTCCAGATAGCGACAAGCATCCACGCGATATTTTTCTTCTTAAAAACGCTCATGTACTTTGAAAGGTTCGTTATCAAGAAATATCGGCTGACGCTTATGGTTGCCAGAGTTACTATTGACACTGTCAGAAGAACGCATGATATGTACGCCACGAACGAACAAAGAAGGTCTCCGCCGATCCATCTTCCCGTTATCAACACAACTAACCCGAACGGTACGCAAAATAGAGTTGCTAGTAAATCGACTACGATCACGTTTAGAAGCAGCAGATTATGCCATGTTCGAAGGCGAGGACTTGTGTGCATAATAAAACACGCGAAAATATTGCCAATAGTTGACGCAAGAAAAATAAATCCCAATACAATTGCCTCGATTACGACGAGGTACGCCGGTCGCTGTTCCAAGTCTCTTGCAGCTTTCCAGCTACTCACATTCATGTCAACGTTAGATGAAAAATTTGCTCCACTTTCAGTCCGCAGCCAATTAACTCCCCGTCAATATTGCCGGTGAAAATACGTTTACAAAGTCGATATTTCCAGTATCCACTCCGTGGGTCCTCCCGCTCATTTAATTTCCGTCGTTGCCATGGCTGAAAATTTCAGCTTTCTTCGATGGTTTTTTTTTCTTTGTTTAGTCGCACACTCGATCAACTTGGCATCTAACCTTGTCGATAGTATGCTGCTGTCATAACGCCATAAGCTGCTTGGTAGAAGAGTTTCAAGTGTCTTGTGTACCGTACGTCTTTTTCCGTACTTTTTTTTACCTGTCAATAACGCTACAGCTGCCAGCGATTCTGAAGTCACTCAATACAGAGATGCAAATAGGATTTTCTTTCTTTTAGTCCTAATTTGAAAGTGATATTAATCGTAGGTCCCTGAGATTCATGTTAGGATATCGTATTAATTTTTATGGACAAGACAAAATAAAGTGAACCTTTAATTAAAATGGAATTTGCCCTGGGGCAGCTGTTTCTACAACTGTTTTATAGCTCGAGGATGACGATCTAAGAACGGTTTAACTGATTTTTATTATTATTATTATTATTATTATTATTATTATTATT